CGGACCTTTCTTCTTCTTTGTTTGCCCCTGAAGAAGAAAGGTCCGCCTTTCAAAAGCGCTTGGGTTATAGGTTTTTTTTTGTTGTTTTTTTTACACATGATGGATAAATACACTGGATTAGGTCATGCAATTGGAAGCCCACATACAAGGAGACCTATGGTAATCACACAATATGTACAGTTATTGAGTTTGTATTTTTTCTATTAACAGTCGGCCTATTATCACAAACGTGATAAAGATTGAAAAAAATAAAAAATACTAAAACTCAAAGTAAAACATCAATTTTTAAGTTATATTAACTTAACTTATGCCTGTCTCTATAAAGCCTGAATTTTGGGTTGCGCCGTGGTAATACTAATAGGCGTAATAAGCACTGACTTAAGTATTTGTAATTAACTGACCTTAACTCTAAATTATTGTTACAATTAACCGTTAATACTTACAGTTAAGAGTATAGCTTGATTTTAAGTCGCGTTAAAATCAAGATCAAACTCAAAGTGAACTGCAGTGCAGACTCTCCTACTCTAACAAACGTTCTTACTTTTTCAGAGTTTTATTATCATCTTGACACTTCACTAGCTATCATCGACGTTTCTAAATGTATTAGTATTTACATTAGTCTGTTTTGTCCTATAAAATTCAACATAATTCTAGCCTTATGAATAAGCCTAACATATAGAATTAGCTGGTCTAAACTTTTCATAAAGCGGCCTCTCTCGGTGTATTTTGGTTATCGTACCAAAAATATAATTGTTTTTCTTCAATGATAAAGCAGATGGCATATTAGGGTTACAGCCCCAAATAAATTTGAATGAGAATGACTAGTTTGTTTGTGGAATTCCGCACGAAGCTGGTCGAGAGTTGTCTCTTGTACCAGTCTTTAATTTAGACGTAATATACTAGAGGGAAGACATCTAATCACCACCATCCACAGCTAACTCTTTTACCAAAGAATAGCGGGAAAGTTTGTTTGTTTTTGGAATTTCGCGCAAAGCTATACGAGGGCTATCTGCGCTAGCCGTTTCTAATTTAGCAGTGTAAGACTAGATGGAAGGCAGCTAGTCATCACCACCCACCGCCAACTCTTGGGCAACTCTTTTACCAACGAATAGTGGGATTGATCGTCACATCATAACGCCCCCACGACTGAAAGGGCGAGCATGTTTGGTGTGACGGGGATTCGAATCCGCGACCCTCTAGCGGGAAAGACCGTCATATTATAAATATGATACCCAAGGCTGAAACTGCGAACATGTTTCCTAGAAAGTGTTAGTTAACATCAAAGGTTGAAAAATAATTATTACAGAATGTAGATTAAATCTATATAGACAGTAGTGTAGTGCTAAATATAGAAGTAAGGGAACGCGTTTTGAAAGTGTTACTATGATTAGTATTTATTACGTCACCAATACATAAAAACACATATTTCAGAAATAGTAGTTATAAACTGTAATTGTAATTGAAATCTACATTTGGAAATGTTACAATAAAAAATAATTTTCTCTCGCCTTGAACTTTTGAATTCCTGGATAACTTATTCACAGAACTTCCAAACTTGTTCTTTAGTAAGTTCCTTAGACTTGGCTACTCTTGTTCGTATATCAGTTGCTGAACGATTACACCTAAGCCATTTGTATCCATAATCGTCTTGTTTCCGGTTTTGAATCACAGTGCCGTGAAGCTAATGAGCATGAGATTTGTCACGTGGTTGATTAACGGCTTGGATCTCATTTATGTAGTGATAAGGTTTGCGCTTCTAAAGCATTCGGAAGAACTGTATGGAATGACTTTTGAACACCCAATTGAAGAATTCAAATCTGATAGAATATAGCGCCCACAGTTATCTCTAAAGTCTCTGTATACTGTGGTTGTTTTTGGAAATGGTAATCGGAAACGTTTGCAAAAAAACTTTATTTCCCTTTCTCCAAAGCCTGAATTTAACTCTGCTGGTCGTTCATTGGCTTCTAAAGTACTCAGCTCAGAAATTATGTTTGGAATGGAATTAGAAATGCCTGACTATGACCCAGTTGGTTCATGAGAATAAGTTGGTGTGAATAACCGTTGTTTCATATTGTTTATGATACTGGTTAAAAAATTAACATGATTGACTGAAACAATCTTAATGTTATCTGCCAGTGTTATTAATGAAACTTCATTTCCTTAATGGCATTCTCTGCTTCTAAGATCTATTTACCCTGATGTTCCTTCATTGCTTCTAAAAACCGTATGCTGCGACGAATTAACTTGTCTGCATAAAATATAATAATATCCCTTTTCTCTAAGGCTGCTGAAGTGCTTAACAAGAAGGCGAAGTTAGAAATATTAGCTAAACCAAAACGAACCGTATTTATATTAATGGAAACTAAGCATTTATTGGTTACTGTCTAAGTCTGGTTAAATAGGTCGTAAAGAAATTAATGTCACGTTTTGGAACACTTTCATTAACCACCACCCCTCCCCGAAAAACGTGCATCACGCATAATAGTTAAACGAACTGCCTAAACGTCGCCTTAGTGTCGCCTATATAATGTGTAAAGTTTAATATACTCTAATCCCTTATAATGATGGCAAACGACGAGACACACATTTGGCATTTAATGCTGTTTGAATACAAGAAGGGAAAGAACGCCTCTGTGGCCACAAAGAATATCAAAGAAATTTTTGGAAATGTTTTTAACGTTCGTAAATGTCAATGACGGTTCAGCAAATTTCGTTCAGGTGACTTTAGCCTTAAAAACT